CATGTTCTATTCAAATACTATAATAAATATAAAACGATGTATAAAAGAAATTAAGCAAACAAAACAAAAAAGAAAGAGTTTTTCACATGAGATTCAGCATTTCTCATTCAATTAATCCAGTTCTCACTTCCCGACAAGGCAAAAATACATAAAAAGTCAAAATATCTATATTAAAAATTACGAAGTAAATCTTAAACTCTAATTTCCTCGAATACATTCCAAAATGGATTCCACATGATTTAAATTCGCAATAATAAAAGAAGGCGTTATCTATGTTGTTGCGAAGCTTAGTTTCTCTAGATTGGCAACTAATCCGCTATTTTGCCAAGTTTGAAATGTAAACAAACATGTCCTCCATATCAAAATTCATTAGGCTTAGCTGCACTTAAACAACTTTTAAATTGTTTATAACTCCACAAATATAGCATGCAGATTTACTAAAGGCATAAAAACCTTAACGGGAGATAAGAACAACATAATTCAATCGTTTTTAATGCAAAACATGCACAACTTACAAACATATAACGGTAAAGAAACTGAGATCACAGAGACAGTTAACAGAGTGGATATATATATATACATATACGTTTGGTGCGGCCGATTGCAACCAAAATACGAGTGCACATCTACATGTTATAGCAGTCCTATATACAAATATTTAAACGTTCTGAGGTTACTCGTTTTTGAGTTATGCGAAATACGTACGTGCAGACGAGAAGAAATTTCTCTTGAGAATTAATTTTAAATGTTTTATAACTTTTTTTTGGGGAAAAGAGTCTTTTATTCTGTCCTTACGAACAGATGTCACGCAAAAACATCGTTTAATTGAATTCGATAGCGGTCAAAATGGGTATTTTTGTTGAAATATTCTGCCTGAAAATTTTCGCGATTACAATACGTCCTTTTTACTTCGTACAAGGAAGTAAAAATGGAAAAAACATTTCAGTCGAAGATATCCATACTGTTCATTATATCTGATAATCCCCTCTTCCTGATTAATTTTATAACTGTATGTTATTTTAACATTAAATGTATAGTAAACGGGACGGGACCAAAAGGTTTGCTCGTTATATTCGAGCACCTTTTATAAAGTTGTAAGGATTATATTTATTTTAACTAACATTTATTTTAAGTTATCTTTCCTGTCAAGCCTTTACTTTACCCTAGAATTGTCAATGCTAGAGTATGTAAATTGTAGTACAGCGCGCAGTATATTCAAATTTAGCGGAAGTAAGTTGAGTTTAAATAGAAGGCAAACGAGATTGTAGGTGTGTTTCTTGAATCGTGAACGTGAACGTCGCTCGGTAGAATTTAAGAACCGCGCGTTTCGGCCTGTGTGCCTATCTCGGCAGTTTTTGCTGGATCTTTCAACTGCTTAATCAGTAAGCTCGCTGAATATCAGCGGTAATGTTAGAACGCGGTTAGGTTAGTTTAAGATCTCAGAGCCTCGTGGATAGTGATCTCGCTATTTATTCATCCAGTCATTATTTTTCATTTCTACATTCTGTTTCAGTTAAACCGCTGGGTCGGCGTAATTTGTGAGCGTCAAGTGGACGCAGCTGTTATTTTAAAAGTTGAATAAAAAGGGCTTTAAACCCTTCTTACGTGTCTGTAAATTCACACTTAGTAGCAGTCACTACCACAGTTGCTGACAAGTTGGGGCCACAAGCCGATATTACAAAGTGATACACCTTTTCTAATGAGTATGATAAATATCGTGCATTTAAACACACGTACGGCGTTTGACTACATCATCTTATATTTAGCATAGTCTGTTAAAGAATCATAAGTTAGGATAACTATGAAATTTTTATTTAATATGTTAGAGAGTTTGCTTGACTCAGAACACAAACAGAATACAAATCAAACTTAGTCTTTGTAAACATTTAAATCGAAGTGTTAAAACAAAAGAACTTGTAAAAGATTCATTTATAAGCTTTAAATATCTTCAGGCTTACCTATTAGGCAATATTATCAGTAGTATATTCCATAAGAAAGTAACATGTTGAAAAGAATGAAGCACAAATACAACGTCAGCACAAAATCTTTTTCAGGCTTCTGCATCAGAATATAAGTAGAATCCTTTCTCGCCAATATGTATCGTCTGGCGCTCTTTTGTTTTTGACGTTGCCGAGTTTCATTATGAAAAAGTGACACTAATTTATTCTAATAGAGTAAACTGACGAAAAGTTCCATTGCGAGACCAACAGTCCTTTTTGGGACAATAAATAAGTAAATAAATGAAACAAATTTTGAATTTTACGTATGAATAATTATGGAAATATTATTCTACATATAATAAAAGAAAGTGTCTGTGTGTGTGTGTGTCTTTTGTTCGTGCTGCGCGTAAATTAATAGACCCAGGGCTACGAAATTTGGTACATAGCTGCATCTAGACAAGAGCCAGTGCACATCGAAGAGACTTTTTTTCAAAATTCGAATCAGATTTTTTTTAAATTTTATCTTTTTTGAGGAAATCGCATCATTTTGAATAGCTTCATTCTTTTAGAAATCTGTTTTTGGCAACAGTTTTTCATTCAATGTTTCGTATACTGGGCTGCTGACTGTTGAAAATATGAGATAAAATATTAATTGCTTATTTCAACTGTTTTTAAGATACTAAAAAGTTTACCATTTTTTTCTTTACAACGGGAAGTTGGTTAATTTATTTATTAGGATAATTAATATTTGTATTAAGCTTAATAATATGAATTATTTCATGCTACTTATTTTCTTTTGATGTTTGGACACGCACATCGCAATCTTATTCTGACGCTCATGTGTCTCGCGACGCACAACAGAAAGAATTTTTTTTTTTTTTTTTTTTTCTGTCTCTCTCTATTAGCTAATGACAAAGAGGTTTGTATATTTTGAATTATTTCATCTACAAAGCACAATTTTGGTGTTTCATTCTTTTATAAATGTGGTTTTTGGAAACAGGTTTTCATTAATTGCTTTGGATACTGGCTGCTGACTGTTTTTTCTTGAAAATATGAGATTTATTGCTTATTTCATTGTAATTTTTATGGTTAATTTATTTCTTAGGATAATTAATATTTTTATTAAGGGATATTGCTTATTTCATTATAATTTTTTTGGGCGATTTTTGGCGAAAATTTGGCAACTAACCCTGCTACAGCAACCTCCTAGTTTTTTTTTTTTTTTTTTTTTATTTACTCAACATTTTTTCGAACAATCTGCTAGCCGAATTACGCTTAGAAATTTTATGGAACAAAAGTGCTTAATCATGACGAATATTAAGTGCAAAATTGGGAGGAAGTGCAAAATCGCAAACTCCTTGCCGTGTTTTTAAGAATTGCACATACACGGTAACCATGTACACGACGACCTATTTTCACTTAAAAAAAAAAAAAAAATCCCAGAATTGCACAAAAATGGCATTGCGCGCACTCTTGACTTTATCCATGTACACTGCTTTTTTCTCATAAATTAGAAAAATTTGCATGTAAATGCTGGAAAATTTTGTGAATCTTTAAAGTCGGTAAAAAGGACATATATGAAATTACCTGATCGCAAAAAAGTATATACCCTTTCCAAGGATGAACATTTGCAAGTATAAAATAAATAAAATATCCAAAATCTTTTCCCTCTAAATTATGCATTATAAACGTCACCTGCGAATTTATAAGGCAAACATTAAAAATAATTGCAAATACTTAGTGTCAAATATTCAACTTATTTCCATGCACGTATACTTCTACTGAAATGTATTCCAAAATGCTACAAACGCATAATTCCCAAAATCACTATGATTTAATTAAAATATAATTAAATTAAAAAACACTAGTTAAAATATAAATAAACACATACATTAAATTAATAAAAAATTAGCTTAAAATCTTAATTACTTTAAACTAATTTATTGCTAATAAAAATTTTCCAATAACAGCATATTAATTTATTTATTCCTTATATTTAGAACAATGCATAGAAATAATATCCTCAAATGATTAAAAATAGTAACTTACCTAATCTTCTACAGAATGAGTGCATAGCGGATCACAAAATGTCCATTTTCACCAGATTTCTTGCACCGCCATTCAAACTTATCTGTAATATCCTTCCTTTCACACAATCTCATTTCATTCCCACATGTTGGACATTCATACTTATCCGCAATTAATCCTACACTCATACACCATTCAAGCAATTCTTTTGGATTATCACATAAACGCAATAAAAATTTCGAATTTATTTTACATAGGGCCATAGGATCCAAATATTAAGCAACACTGTTTCACACAACATGGAATGAAGCTAAATACAAAATGCTATAAAGTACTGCAGATATTTTTGCAAATTTCCCCCCTTTTCCGATTAAAGAACTGTGATTCGTCCATAAATGTCACATGACATATCTCATGATCTCTCATTTCTCTCAGACAAAATAATCCGTAATTGAAACTGGGTACTTCACACATTATTGCCAAAGTCCTAGGTAGTAACCTTTATCGCCTACCAAAATGTCGCCAAACTGCCTGTTACCATATTCCAAAGATTAGCCATTTTTTTATATTATGTTTTAATTATATATAATTTTAATTATGTAAAATGTTTTGCATGGTTTTTTTTAGAAAACAAAGTTTTTAACTTCCTTTATACCATTTGAATTCTTAAGATTTTGCAACAGGAAGTGAGTTAATTTATGTATTAGGATAATTAATATTTGTATTCAGGGATATTGCTTATTTCGTTACAATTTTTTTAATATGTGATACATTTTTATTTAGGCATTTTTAAGGAACATTTAAAAGTCAGACAAAGGCTGGCTGCGTAGCGTCTAGTAATGAAATAAAGGGAAAAAATTGAAATTTATATTTATTTTCTATCCGAAATTCAAAGTTGGTACCTACAAGGAATTTCTATTGGTTAACTTTGTAATCCAAACGCAACAACAGAGAAATGTTAAATATACATACACATTTACTTTAACAAATCTACAACAAATCTTCATTCATTATATATGTCTTTCTTAACAGGTGCTCCAGGTGGTTATGTGCCTCTAGCTGGTCACTCTCTCTCGTGGTCAAGTGAGAAGCCGAGCCTACAGAACGGAAACGTCATGGTGGCGAAAGTGTGGACGCCCGAAGATCCGAGGCGTCACAAATCAGAAAACAGCTCGTCCCTCGGCTCTTCGTAAGAAAGCCAATGACAGTACAAAAATGTTCTCAAAGAAAAACTAGTCAGAATTGAGTGACTTCAGTTATGTGATTATGATGCACGTGCTTGCCGTGAAGAACTTTGTTCTTCAGACGCAGATGGCTCGAAAATATTCTTAGCTGCATTCTGCATCTGCTTTTGAAGAAAGATGGCTTTTCTATGGATGTACATAAATAAAAAAAGCTCTGCGAACATTTATGAATAAAGGATCTACTTACGTTTTTGTATAGTTTAGACACTGTGAATTCTTCTCACGCTTTGCTTGCGTGGAGTAGTAATTTGTTGAAGGCTCACTGTTATGTAATAGGTTAAAATAATAATACTATTGCTAAAAATCATGTTCTCTTCTTATTACTAAACTGAATCACATTTATTAAGCTAGTTAAAGTATACATTCAAGTGCTAGCAAAACTTACGTATTCCGTTGCGTTCATTAGAGCGCATGTAAAACAAGAGGGTCAATCTTCGGATTATGGTAACTTGGCGATTTTTTGGCGAAACGTTGGCTACCAACCCTGCTACAGCAACGTGCTGGTGTTTTTTTTTTTTTTTTTTTTGGACGCCATTTTGTTTTCACAAAGTAAAGGCATTTTTTTTTTTTTTTTTTTTTTTCCACTCAACATTTTTTCCAACAATCTGCTAGCCGAATTACGCTTATGCTAGAACTTTTATGGAACAAAAGTGTTTAATCATGAAGATTAGGTGCGAAATTGGGAGAAAGTGTAGAATCGTCCACTGCTTGCCGCGTTTTTAAGAATTGCACATACACGGTATCCATGTACACGTCGACCTATTTTCACTTAAAAAAAGATCCCAGAATTGCATAAAAATGGCATTGCGCATACTCTTGACTTTATCCATGTACACATCGACCTATTTTCACTTAAAAAGTCAAAGAAAAATTGACAAAAATCCAATTCTTCTTACTCTTGTAATAAGCGCCAAACAAATAAGTGGGCGATTCTGCACTTTAGCAGCGAAATTGTTTCTAAGTGCTTATTGGCTAAAATCCGGATTGGAATTTTCGGAAAATGTCACATTACATGTCTCATGATCTCTCATTTCTCTGAGATAAAATAATCTGTGATTCGAATTGTGTTCTTCTCAGATTATTGCTAAAGTCCTAGCTAGTAACCTTTATCGCCAAACTACCTGTTGCAGTGTTCGTACACATTTCTGCACATGGAAATTAAGTAAAGGACCATTAATGAAAAAAATTAAGGACTTATGAGCAAATGGGAACTGAATAAATTCAATACATGAAAATTAAAGTACTTTTAAGGACCATTAATGAAAAAATTAAGGACCTATGAGCAAATGGGAACTGAATAAATTCAATTGAAGATATTATCTATGCCTGAATTTCCCTTTTGTAATACCATCCTAAAAATAAAATAGATCCCTAAGTAGTACACATTATTACTAAACATGAATTAACATAATTGTTAATAAGTTTGAAAATAAAATAAACTTTATGCAATTTATCAAGTTGCATTAAATATTTTACACTTATAATTGTTGGTCATATTTGAAAGATGATAAGTGACATTTACGTTTTACTAACAGTTAGTTTTATGTTGATTTTTGTATGTCTCATTTTGTCACATACTTGGTCAGTGTAGAGGTTTAGTAAATAAGCAGGCAGATTTTATGTCAAACTGAATAGGTTAAAATGAGAAGTAAGATCATAATCAGCATGATTCATAACCAAAAGACTGAATGCTGTCACCGCAGCTGCTTGTCTAGAGAGAGACCTGCTGATTAGAACAAACCTAAAAGGACTGATGTAGGCAAGATTGGCAAGTCTTGAATGTTAGTCAGCTCTGTTTGATGCAGTTAGTGTCGTAGCTTCGTGTACATATCCAGGGATTGTAACCCAGTTAATATACTTTAAGGTACCAATAAGTCATTAAAGCACCAGAGGTGATAAGTTGTTTGTATTATTTTAAGTCTAAATAGATGCATAGTAGAATATGTTTTATTTGAATTTTTACAATTTTTTTTTTTATCTTGTGACCACAGTGAGTGTTAATGAAAGGCAATAACTCGCTTTAATATGTAGACATAATTTTTAAGGGTAAGCAGTTATAAATAAATAAATTAGGTAATTAGATAACCTTGGTCATAATGGATTTACAAGACCACTACTAAATTTTATTTTTAACAATATTTGTTAAAAAAGCCCTATTAAAATCAAAATCTAATAAAATTTCCCAGTTTAAAGTATATGTAATTTATGACACAGATTCTTAAATGATATTAAGATAATTACGCATTAAAAGCTACTGAGCATTTATGTTTTGTAACAACAACAGTCCACAAAATATTTATCCGTCATTTTAATTTGAAACCTTCCCAGACATTTTGCCTAGTTTATATCGATTTCCTTCTCTTTAAGCATCTTTTCTAATAATTAGAGATTTGTTTCAATATGCAAATCAATGCTCTCACTAGTTTCTGCGTCTTTATCTCCTAACTTGTCATCCTCTCCACAATGTACCTATGAGGGTTTAATTGATCTGTTAAAAGTTAAATAGTCCAACACTCCCGACAGGCGTGAAGCATATTATCGCTATGTCTGAATTGGGTTATTAAATTATGGCAAAGCACACAAGGGCTATCTGCCTAAAGGGAGGGATACCTTCGTGGAGGACTTTCTAAGTGAAACTGGCTCGTATACGCATTACACATGGGGAAAGCGAGGAAAACGCCCATACAGCCAGCCTGTTCGCGGGATTCGAACCTCAGACCGAACTACCAGTGTTCAACGTCTTTACCGCTCGGCCTGTGGTGGGCCTTGCTATGTCTGAAATTAACTATCAGACAAAGGTTTAAATAAGCCTCTTATTTAAAAATAGCTTAGAACATAAAGGCATGTTCTGATGCTAACAAAATCAATTAAAGCTCACGGTGACGTAATTAAACAAGAACAGTCAAATTTAAACTAATAATGTGGACTTGTGGTTAAAGATTATACAATTCAATTTTAATTTAGTCTGGCTCAATAACTATCATATGAGGAAATAGAAATGGGGAATTAAAGTAAAGGTTGAAATCATAAACAATTGGGTAATTTACATAATAACAACTGCAGATATCTTTGAAGAAAAATTTCCTTTATGCATTCAGTTTCTTTCTTCAACGCGTTTCCTTTTCGTTTTAGAATTTTTGGATTTAATTAAGGATTTCTGATATTCTAAAAAACACTAAATGCATTTAGAATGTACAGAAAAGCGGCTAATTTTATTTCTTCAGTAATATGAACATTCGGAAGCAATATGAAATATATATAGTAAAGGCCGGTTAGGGCTGATGTGGCAGAATTTCTAGAATTTAGTGACACACCGAGCAACAAAATCTAGAAATGGTAAAACTTTTAGAATTTAGAGCAGGCATTGGAAGCAGAATTTAGAAAGGCACTAGGCAGCAGAATTTAGGATCCACAGAGATTGCATCAGGTGGGAAAATGCCTAGTGCCAGCTATCTGCTTCTTAATGCATGTATGATGCATTAAGAAATATTAGATGAATCTTTTAAATCCTAAATTTTTTTATTAATAAAGAAATTAAAGTTTTCAATTTCTTTATTAATAAAAAAATCCCTTTCTATAATGCTTGCCCATGTGATAAGATCAGAAGCATTTTTGATATTTTCCATGCTTCTGTCTAGTGAAAAGTAGAGAAAATAAAGAGAAGATAAATATGTTAAGATTTTAGCATCAGAAGTAAAACATTCAAATATTATGTTTTCATTGTTCTTCCAGATGTTCTCCAAAAATTAAGAAATTCATTCCAAACTTTCTGTAAAATACATCCATTACGTGTTGATACCATGGAGACATTTTTCATTTTGTCATATATTTCTCAAATCTTCTAGAATTGTGGGTCTATAAGTCTTGCCTTCAAATCCTTCTAATCTTTCCAAGCTGCAATGTCTAAAATCCTAAAGAAAATTATCCCTACCAATGCTGTAACAGCAAAAGGCCAAAAATATTTTGGGAAAAAATAGGACAGGAAAAGTATAAAATTAATTTTGTAGAGAAAACTGATGCACTTTCTGAGAATTTTGAATATTCTGAGACAATTACATGGGAAAACTCTTACTATGAAAAAAATTAAAAACAAGACATTTTTAATTAATTACATAGCTAATTTTGCTTTTGCTAAGAGCTGTTTCGTAAATTGTGCTTTATAGCATTATATCTTGTTTATTTTTCAAATTTAAAATATTGTATAATAAGTTGCCAAAATGAAACTTTATAATATTACAGTGAAAAATAAAAATGTTTTATTTTAATGTTATTTTTTTTAAATATAATTTCAATATATTACCATTATTTTAATAAAATTTATCAATGTTACGATGCTGTCGAAAAATTTTCAGATCTCGGAATTAAAAAGTTTCTGTAGAAATTAATCTTAAAATCGCCAAAATGTTGAAAAGTCGCCAAATTTAGAGCCGTTTAATAAAAGAATTCACATCCCCAAAAGCGAAAAGTTGTTTATGAGCTCTGTACTAGAAAAAATTAATTTCGAAATGCTTATGTTTCGCTTAGAAGCTCTAGTACCCCATCATTTATATTAGAAATAGAAACAAATTATAACTCATGAACCCATTCAAAAGATAACCATATATACGGCAGTGAATCGCCAAAAATATTCCTCAAAATGCTAATTCACACTCAAAATGGCAGTCGTAAAAACAGCCGGAAATTTCAGATGATTAAAATTAAGGACCTTCTGCTGATTTTGGCCAAAATTAAGGACTTTTAAGGACCAAAAATCGATTCCATAAAATCTAAGGACTTTTAAGGACCGTACGAACCCTTTGTTACCATATTCCAAAGATTAGCCAACGAGAGACATCCCTGCAAGCTATCAAAGCCGTATACGATGTGCGAATGCCAAATAATAGCAATTTAAGCAATTTTATATAAGTTACTTCCAGTGATTAATGTTACTTATTAACGACATATATATGTAATGTGTGATGTGTAGATGGATAAAGTCAAGAGTGTGCGCAATGCCATTTTTGGGCAATTCTGGGATGTTTTTTTAAGTAAAAATAAGTTGACGTGTACATGGTTATGGCGAATACGGTTTTCAATCAGTGCTAAAAGCAATAGCCAAAAGATTTCCGCCGAAAAAATAATTCTGCAACTTATTCAAATTCGAAACCGGAAGGGTTTAATTTTTATTTTATATTTTAAAACAAAATAATATAAACTGTATTAAAAATTATCTGTAATTAATAAATGTACATTTTCTTTTTATTCATACTTTTTTTACTCAAACTTACAAATCGCGCCAACCTGGTTGCGATAATACGTAAGTACCGAAAAGGATGACAAAGACAAAGCTGTGCCACTAAATAACAATACTGTTTGCAGAAGAAAGATGAAATGAGTGAGGATATTGAAATACAACTTGTTGAAAAGCTGAAAACAAGAAAATTCTCGATGCAAATGGATGAACCAACTTTGAGAGATAGTGAGGCCGTACTTGTTACTTATGTAAGATATATTCATAAAGGGGGGATTTTGCTGAAGAAATGTTCTTCTGTAAATCATTAGAAAGCACCACTACCTCCAAAGATATTTATAGTAAGCTAAAAAATTACTTAGATATAAAAAATATACCAATAAAATATATAATACATCTCGTACTGCAGATGGTGCTCCTAATATGATGGTTGAAAAATAAAATAAATCACGGAATTTGAAAAAAAGTTGCTTAAAATTGACAAAAGATGAGAATCCAGAAATGGATCTTGTGCATTGTGTTATTCATAAAAACCTGGTTAAAGTGTATCAATGCTATAAAAGCTAGGGCCAAATGTAAATGTCTTTTCAAGTTATTTTATGAAGAACAAAATGAAGAAAGACTATACGAGATTTATACTTCACACTGAAGTAAGAAGGCTGTCGAAAGGGAACTGCTTGGAAAGATTTACGGAACTATTTGATACTCTTAGTTATTTTTTAAGTGACAAACCTGAAATGAAAAATCCGTTAACGGATGATAACAAGCCATTTGTGAGTTATTTAGCCGATATCTTTGAAAAATTAACTATATTAAATAAACAACTTCAAGCAGCAAATAAAACTTATGTCGATGCAAATGAGAAGATATTCGGTTTCATTATCTTTGTTGAATTTTGTCAGGCATATATTATTTACCACAAAAATTTTGAAAAGTTTCGTTGGCTCTAAAAATGTGACGTGACGGATACCGCTATACTTGTTATTGTCGATCTAAAAAATTTGGGGTTAATCCTAGTATCCGGTGCACACGGGATTTGTCTACTTTTGGCGACTTTATGATGAGCAATAAAAACGGGACATATACGATGAGTAGTAAACGGGTCATTCAAAGAATATATATAGTTATTCATAGTATATACTTAGTATATAGTGTATAGTATATACATAGACGTTGTTTGAGTATGTATATAGTGTATAGTTAGGCGTTGTTTGGGTAATTTTTGGTGTTGGCGATAATTTTCAAAATCGCGCCAAGGCTGCAAGGCTGCACCGTATACTAGGATTTTACCAAAATTTATCGGCTGATTTAAAAGGTTGTGTTGCTGAAACAAAATTGATTTCCCAACTTGGATGATGCAGCCAATGCTAGTGGATTTGGCTGATATTTCAAATATGCAGTAAAAGGAATAATTCGCAGAAATGCAAAATGATGAGTCAATTAAATCTTTATTTATTATAAAAGGAGCGATGACATAGCTTTGTGAGGAAACCAGAATCCGATATCTAAATACAACAAAAATTTGCAAGAGAACTATTGTTACCGTTTCCATCTTCATATATTGCTGAATGCGGATTTAGTGCTATAAATGATTTGCTGCTAAAAAAAAAAAAAAAAATCTGTTGGATATAATGAAACCGGGAGATTTGAGACTCAAGTTATCTAAATTGGAACCTGACATAAAATCTCTTTGCAGCAAATATCAAGCGCAAGGAACTCACTAAATTTAAATAATACAAATTACTAATACTTAAAATATTTCACTAAAATGAGTTTGTTCTTGAATTTCAGTTTTCCATGTTTTGAAAGTTTACTTACTGTATTTGCTCACAAAATTTCGTAGTCATTTCTTCCCAAAAGCTATCATTCAAGTTTCTTTTGCGAACATTTCAATTTTTAAATATTAAACATTTTGTATATACTAGGTGGAGCTTAATAATTTTAGAGAGGATTAGGTGGGGCATAGCACAAAAAAGGTTAGGAAACACTGTCCTACACAGTGTTGAACCTTTGCAAACTTGAAGAATTACCCATTTGAACGTATTAAGTATATTGCTTCGTTGGATTGCTTCTACTTTTGCAACCTCCGGCACCAGAGCTTTGATTGGGACTTGTTTGACCAGACCACTCGTTTGTAATCGATTAGCCTTCTGTTTTAACCGAGTAACAAAATAAACAGAGAAACACGACAGTGTAAAACTTAAAATTAGGTAAAACAACAAGCATATTATAGCGTATGAAACCCTATTGATGTCGAGGGTGATCAGACAAAGTTTCCTTTTCTTTAGATTAGAAGCAAAAACATTCTGCAGAATTTGTTCGCTCTTGAAGAAAAGGAATTTTATTAAAAAAATCTACGCCCAAAAAAGGTTGCTGTTTCGCTTATTTTTAAGTAACTGAACTAATTTTACTACACTACCAGGTGACTTTTCGTCTCGTTTTAAACTTTGATTACTACAACACAATTCATAAATAGGAAATATAAAAACAACTAAATTATTACACTGACTTGAATTCTCTAAAATAAAGGGAAAAGCTAAACTTCTGCTGCTTGCAACCTTACCAGTACAATAGTAATGCGATATTTACAAATCCAAAGTATTAAATCCTAAGAATCTCTCTCTTGAGAAAGCATATTTCTTCAGGTATAAGTATGTGTGAAATTCACCCATCTCTATGGCAATACATTCCTAGGAAGAAAACGGGATTGTTATGTACTGTATCTTGCCCGAGCTTTTTCGCTTAATTTGAGATGTTATCTCTTATTTAAATCTCTGGAACTACTCTGATATGTGCCCTCAAATCGCCAAACATTTTTGGCGAGAAACTCCACGCTGCCATATTGCTATCTAAATTTTTTGTCTACATTTCGAACTTTAAGCCTAAAATGTCTCCAAAAACACGGTTTTCGCGAATGTAAAAACCACGTTTCGAACACACAATTTAAGCTAAAAATCCGAAGCAAAAACAGAAAATTTAGATAGCAAAACCGTAAAGTTTCTAACTAAAATTATTTGACAAGAGTCCATGTACACAGCGATATGTTTTAACTTAAAAAAAGATCTACGAATGGCACAATCTAGGCAAAGAACGAATCTACGAACTACGCACACCTCGCTTTAATAAATTAACATAACAATAAATTTCAAAGAATACCATGTACACTGCATCCTGTTTAAACTTAAAAAAATCTAAGAATTGCACAATTTAGGCAACAAATGAATCTACGAACTATGCACACCTCACTTTAATAAACTAACATAACAATAAATTTCAAAGAATACCATGTATACAGCATTCTGTTTCAACTTTAAAAAACATCTACGAATTGCGCAATTTAGACGGTTTGCACTAATCAACAAAATAACTAAAATAAATTTCAAACAATTCAAAAAAACAATAACGACAGAAATTCATATTAAAAAAGCAATGAACATAACATTCTACAAAATAAGAACAAGAATAAAATAAAATGCACTTACCATGAATTAATGCTTTTCGAACATGAGAAATACCAATTACATGCCGCCACGTAATCACTATAGTATTTATATGACAGCCAGACACACTATCCAGAAAATTCATTCTATGGTTTACAAATAAATACAAATCCTTACTTCTATCATGCACAGCCACTAAAAATAATCTCCCCACACCTCCAAATACCCACTGCCCTCAACAGGATGGCCACGACGATATTTCTTTTTGCCGAACTTCAATTCAACAACTTCCAAAATTTTCTCTTTCCCCCTAGCTTCTCAGACACAGAGCATGACGCGAACCAACGAACTCCAGCGAAAGATTTTTCAACGTCAACAGGGTTGCCGTACAACACGCAATCGAGCCAAAAACCAGCGCAGAACACATATCGCCACATTTGGTGAAATTAGGACGTTTATCAGAGTTGTACCAAATCTCTTTCCAGTTACGTTTCCTAGTGGTGTAGACGAAATGATACTTTTCTATTAATGGCGTTTCAGTTTTCGGAGAAGATCAAACACTAGCGACATCTATCAAGTCAAATACATGTAAAGTGACAAAAAAATAAACTCTCTATGACAAGAAAGCATAATTTTATTAGCAAGATTGCTATTTCGAAAAGACTTATTTACATATAGCTACCTCGAACGATGATCGCAATTACCATTCTGCAATGGCGAAAATACTAAGAAAGAAATACTACGAAAGAAAACAGCTCACGTTTATTAATACCTAGCACCAGTCGCAAAATGCAGCAGCCTCTTTACATCGCATCATGAATGCCGTGCAGTTACATAGTTACGAATAAAGATGAAGAACGAACATCAGTGCAGCAATTTTCTCTCCTAGATTTTCATTTGCTTAAAGTGTTAAATTGGAAGCTGCTATGCAGAAGCATCTGTAAGTTAATTACAAATAAATCTGATACGGGGTGCCATGTGAAAAATTGAAGAAATAAACATCAGCCCGACACTGGCTGACACCATCTAGATGAATTTAGGCAGCGGCGACTAAAAATACTTTCCGCAGTTTTGAAAGAAATCAACAGTTTTTAGACCTTCAGTGTAACATGAAATGCTTCTGGTAAAATCTACTTGTTTTTATTTTTTGCATTTATTATGAATTTAATGAAACGGTCATTCTTTTTATGACGCTTTTAAGAGCTTTCATTACGGAGTTAGATTTCTCGCCAACATTAATGTTTGGCGCCAAGTGGAGCCCCATTACAGAAAATTACCGATAAAACAATAGAAGATTCAACACAAGAAATAATACGTTAATTAAAATAAATCCACCGACCCAGACCAAGAATGAAGAACGTTAGCAATTATTGCCAAGGTTATTACTCTTTTATTTAAAAATAGTACAAAAAATTTCTTTCTCTCAAAAACGTATTTTTATTGAAATATGAGAAATGTGTGGGCCGTGTAAAATATTGTTATTTCAGATCATTATCTACTATACAGGTATACAGTCTAAGATGGCGTCTATTTCCTGTCTTGCTAAAATCCAATGCTGTGATATCCAGCTGTGGAATTCGAACTCCGAGATGAAGAAAGTTCTTTTGTTATTCGAACATTTGCCACTGTCTTTCAAGGTTCATGTCTAAAAATAAAATGCAACATAATAAAAAAACAATGCAACATAATAAGTTCAGTTTCAAGATGATAAATGAAGTACATACACATAATAAAGTAAACAAATATTAATAACTTTATAGACATACAGTCAGATTCCTAATTGGCCGGGGTAATAGTGGGAAGGACATCCAGAGATAATTCAAAATCATGGTTAACACGAATGTAGTAAAAGAAGAACAACTCTTAAATAAAAATTAATATAAAAATACTCTAGAACATTTACCTGTATTTTCAAACAGCTTAGGCTGGAGAATTCTTTCAGTTAGTTATGTAAATTAAATCTGTATTGAAAACAACGAGAACGTACTGTAAATAATGAAGGAGAGAGCTTAGTTGAAACGAGTAACTTAAGTAATAACGACTTAAGCATCGTGCTTCGGGCCAGATGCAACCCTTTTCTATATCTAGCCCATGAACGGAACATCTAGACTTCGACATTTGCAAGTACCATCGATCGGTTAGCATAGTAATTAAAGAATGAGCTGAATACACGAAAAATCATGTAGGGCTTATTATCAAATATTCTTGTTGTTGTTGCTAATGCTCACTTGTCTGACCTATAACCCAAGCCTACGATATTCCTCGTGGCTAGGAGCGCACGTTGACGCCTGTCGTTGGCTACAGCACCTTTCAGGTGACATTGAGATTCAGCTCAGTTCTGCCCCCAATTTTGATGGAGTGTCTCTGGGGTGGAAGGGTCCAACGGTCTCTCACCCCTCTTCCCCTACTACCAACCTCTCGAGAGGACTTTTCCATGCCTTCTCCAGGATTCCATGCCAGTTCTCCAGTTTTGAATCCAGCATGGAATCCTGGAGAAGGCCAATCCAGGCCTTCTCCAGGCTGAATAGACGAAGGCCTGGATTGGATTGGCCTTCTCCAGGATTCAAACCTGGGCCTTTCGGCACGGCAGTCAGCTACGCTAACCACTAGACCGGTTGCGTGGCGATAACCAAATATAGACGGCCCCAGGGAACCAACAAAATTCTGAATGTAGGAATTTAAGAACATATTACATAGGTTTTCGTTCTATCTTGATTATGCATCATTTGAAATTTATATCCAATCGTGAAAGCTTTTCTCCATCTGTAAGTTTATTTACTATATTTCATTGTTTTGGAGAAAATTTTACATGGATTGCTGTTTAAACATCTTGAATATTCTATTGAATTTTCTATTGAATTAGAAGTAAAAGATCATATCTCTCCTTAATTGGTAGTGGAACTAAACACCGTCGTACTGTCACACGTCTGGTGCTCAAGGCTCTTTCTTGCCAACGACAGGCGCAATCAATCGTGACTCCTTGCCACGATGAATTTTGTCGGCGCCATCTGATTCAGACCAGCGAGATTAGTAATAACAACAATAAAAAAAAAGGTTATGATACAATTATCCCTTCCCCAGTTTTTGAAAGATAAGCAAAGAGTATTAATCTTATGCGTAGGTAATCACACCCCTGCTTTCGATTCGTGTGGATATGTTGTGTGGGGAAATTCCAAAGCGAAAATTATTCATAGATTTCTTATTCATCGGAGCCCACCAGCAGCCGAGCGGTAAAATCGCTGACACTGGTATTTCCGACCTAGGCTCGTTTCCAGGCGAAAGGGCTGTGTGTACGGACGTTTTCGTGGTTTTCCCATGTTTCATAACGTGTATACAAGCCAGTTTCCCTTGGAAAGCCCTAAACGAAGGCATCCCCCCTTAGGCAGATATCCCTAGAGTGCTTTGTCATAATCTACCAAACCAATCTAACTTGTTAAAGCTTAGTTAACTCAGTGTTAACCAAGTTAACTTAGCGCTTGCTACTCATACATTTAACTTGGTTAACTTAGAGCTTGCAACTCACACAGTAAAAATGTGAAAATTTAACATAAATAGCTTAGAAACAGATTAAGTAAAGGAAAAAAAGCTGAAACAAAAAGTATAAAAAAAGGAAAGAAAATCTGAAAGCTTTCAGATTTTATATTACCCATAAACGAGCCTTTTTTTTTTTTTTTTCGTTTACATATGCATACATGTTTCGTGAGAATTTGGGGTAACGCCACTTTAGGCTAAAATGATATTTTAAAACATCATATCTTTAGAACTTCCAATAAACAGTCTCGCGCTCTGGGAATAAAAATAAGTTTTTCCGTACAGTGTTGCGACGACTCGCTTTGAAACCGTTGAGTTTTTAATAAAATTTATTAAAGTTATGAAATAGACAATAAAACAAATCTGAAATTCCAAATTTGGGCTTCCAGGAGTCCATATTCTAGTGGAGGACTACGTTATTCAAAAGCGGATGTTTCTAGGTACCGTTGCTTTTTATAGTGCGGAAAACATACCTTCATTCATTCAGATTCTTCATTATTTAATATCTTTAAATGTAATAGAGGGCGGTAATATTTGGTGACCACAATTTAAAAAGTGAAACGCCGTTTATAGTGAAAAGACGCAAAATGCCGTGTAGAAATTAATAGCTCTTCTGGGATAAAAAGTTATGTAATTAAAGTTTATGTAAAAGAGTTGTGAAGCCACAAAACAAATTTTATGTAAAGTCATAAAAAATAAGATTAAAATCAAGTCAGCCTATTTACGTTTACCTGAAAGGCTGATACAGCTTTGGAATACGATTTCCTTCCTGTCAATAAAATAATCTTACAAGAATATTTTGGGCTTGAAACTGAAAGTCACTGATCTTGAACTAATAAACATCTTTTTAACACTTACAAGCTACGTTCATTCCATTGATTATACCAGCGTTTCTGACAGGGCTTAATTTCTAAGGTTAGAAGTGCCGGAGCCCTATGGACGACCGTCAGCAAAGAAGAACAAGATTGAATAAATAAAATGACTATTAAACTCATTAATCATTTTAAAATTAAATAGTTAATTATTGTCAAATTAATTAATAGCTATTTAATTAATGTTCATAAATTATTATTTAATCAATAATTATTATATAATTAGTTAGTTAAAATTTAATTGATAATTATTAGATAATTAATTTTATTTATTGAAATAATTAAAGATTGAAATAATTAAAATTAAATAAAATGTAAAGAGATATATTAATAATCGCTTATTAAATTTCAATTTAATTTTTTATTGTTAAAATAAAATTTTTGAGATAAAATTTCCACTGAAATTGTTCAATTACATAAAAGAAGTGACTTCTTATTCAGGGCTCCGGTGCGTTCCGGCTAGAATTATGATTCATTACAAAAACTAAGAAGCACCGGTGCCGAGATCCGGCCCAATTTAAGCTCTGATCGTAGGGGGGGGGAGTTCATTTATCATCACAAAAATTAAATATATTTAATGAAAATTCCAGGGCGAGACAGAATAGGGGTATGAGTGGGTGGAAACAAAAAATGAGGGTAATCTTGGTGAGACAGAACGTTTTCTTTGACCGCGGCTCTGTGGTGATATAATTATAGCCATCAAGCACATGTATGTCAGGGGTAAAATGCGTCCTAGAGAATCTGATTTCTAAGGATGAATGTAAAGTTGCTGGTTACACTTTCCCCCCATTAGTGGATAGTGTGGAAAAAAGACGATGTATAGAACTTGCTTGAGGAGTTAGTTTATCTCAATATTTCACTCTTATTGCACTCGCTGTCACTTAACGCACATTTAAGAACACAAATTTTCCTTCCTGCGAGGATAACTAACTGTAAGCATCGATAACAATACACTAGATACGATGGCATGACGAGAAATTTACGCGTTCCTAAACAAACTCCCCCAAATTTATTCCCTTTCTTAAAGGGAAAGGTTTCCGCATGTGCGTGAAGGGACTTTACTTGAATATCTCATGTTCTTATGAGTTCGTGTTTCTAGGGAAATAGAGTATTGCAAAGTCTGCTTATTGTTAAACTAAAACGTCAGGAATTCTAATTTTTTTTCCCTTTAAATTGTGGTTCAGTTTTATAAAAAGAAGTACCGGAGCTCATCTTATTTAGGGCTCCGGTGCGCTCCGGCGCAATTTAAGCACTGGTTTCTGAAACTTTTTTCAAGTGGGGAACACTTCTTGAATTTTGAATGTTTTGCAGACCACCTTATTTTATCCCCTTCGAAAGCAACTTTATGTTCTTAAATTTAATTAAAATTCATTTTTACTCTTATCAGAGATTTATCCCAAGTGAGACTGCCACGTCCGGGATTTTAATTAATTAAATGTGCCTGAGGGATTAATTTCATCCAGCCAGAGTTGCAGCTTAGCGTGATAAATCTGATCATGTAACGGAGGCTATCTTCCTATTTATATGTTGATATTAAGTAATTAAAATCGTTTATTCTTAATTCAAGGCTGTTTGAGTTTGGTTAATCGTTACCTTATTAACTAAAAGTTAGTCATTTAAACGGGATAGCGGTTAGTGGCTCTAACTACCGAATGGCCCGGCTTGAATTCCGGAGATGGCATGGATGCTTGTAAATGTATATAGCTTCATTGCGGTATGGGGGCATTCTAAATATATGGCGGGCCGAAGGTCCTCTCGTGTGGATTAGTGGTAGGAAAAGAGGAGTGGGAGAGCCTCGGAACCCCCCCCCCTCCAGATGCCTTTCCTCAAAATTGGAAAAATCGTACTGTCACTCAAGGCTCTTGTCAGCGATAGGTGTAATCTTGCAACGCTTGCCACAATGGATTTAGTGGTCTTGTTCTGATATCAGACAAGCGAGATTAGTCTTAAAAACAACAAAAGTTAAAATAAATGTTGGCAGTCTCATTAATGAGGTAGATCAGTTTGCACAGCTGCTCTATATTTAGACGTATGCTGGTAAGTCTACTTTCGACACATACAATTAAGTCGATTATAGTACTTTATTTTTATCTGAGTTGGCGATGGAAACCCTTTATCACACAGACGAATTTTCACACACAGTTTTCGTGTACTTTATCACGAAAACTGAATTATAATTTTTAAAACTCATTTATGCAATTCCTGTATTCCGTTCCCACTAGTAACGAGCCCATTGGCGCCA